GAGCACGATATTTATTACTGTATGGTGGGGGACAAGCAGAGTGAAGTAACATACATGTCCTCAGTCAATAGAAGTTACTGTAGTATTGCATCAATATGTTGTGAGCACGATATATATTACTGTATGGTGTGGGACAAGCAGAGTGAAGTAACATACACGTCCTCAGTCAATAGAAGTTACTGTAGTATTGCATCACTATGTTGTGAGCACGATATTTATTACTGTATGGTGGGGGACAAGCAGAGTGAAGTAACATACACGTCCTCAGTCAATAGAAGTTACTGTAGTATTGCATCACTATGTTGTGAGCACGATATTTATTACTGTATGGTGTGGGACAAGCAGAGTAAAGTAACATACACGTCCTCAGTCAATAGAAGTTACTGTAGTATTGCAGAACTATGTGTTGTGTGCCCCACGATCTGTTTACTGTCGTAAAACATGCAGAGTGAAGCAATACCTCTTATTCACTGGAGGTGTTACTGTGTTACCAGTTGTCTGACTTCCATTGTTGTGGAAGCTGCGGTGGCTGAGTGGGTTAGACAGCTGCCCTGGCGACTTGGCTCCTGACTTTGAGGGTGTGGGTTCGAATCCCCGTTGGGACACAACCCAACAAAAGTACTAGAATCTGTACTTTACTGAGAAAGTGTAATTCCAAATATAACATAGGTTACATTTGACCACCTTTTAAATGGGGGCATGTTGCTTGGGGGGCGGTGGGGTAGCCTAATGGTTAAAGCGTCTGCTCGTCACGCTGAAGACCCGGGTTCGATTCCCCACATGGATACAATGCGTGAAGCCCATTTCCGGTGTCCCCCGCTACGATATTGCTGGAATATTGCTAAAAGCGGCGTAGAACCATACTCACTCACTCACTCATGTTACTGTGTTGTTTTTGCACCTGACCTGTTTCATCTGTGTGGCGTGCTACAGCATAGGCTGATACAATAACACTTCTAGCGAAACGCAGAACGTTAGCTGCTCGATTCTCAAACAAGCAAAAAAACAACACTGCCATTACTGTTCTGCTGATGGCTTTGAGCTATCGGCGGTAGTCTAGGGGAGGTAACTCTTATTGACCACAAGTAAAAGTTTAAGTCTTGAGAAGACTGACTGACTGAGTTGAGTTTTACGCCGCTTTTAGCAATATTCCAGCAATATCACGGCGGGGGACACCAGAAATGGGCTTAACATATTGTGCCCATGTGGGGAATCGAACCCGGGTCCTCGGCGTGACGAGCCAACGCTTTAACCACTAGGCTACCCTACCGCCCCGTCTTGAGAAGAAAGCACGACAGAGGAGTTTAGTTTTACGTCGCTTTTAGCAATACTCCAGCTATATCACGGCGGGGGACACCAGAAATGGGCTTCACACATTGTAACCATGTGGGGAATCGAACCCGGATCTCCGATGTGACGAGTGAACGCTTTAACCTCTATGCTACCTCACCGCCCTCATGACAGAGAAATAAACAACTCATAATAACAATCCGTAATATTTCGAGAAAATTCCTTGATTAATACATATTCACTGTGTATTATATATTTAACACTTTTGCTTTGATAATCCAGTTGTTTACAAGCAGGACCTACTGGAGAGAGGGGGTCAGTCTGGGGTTTTAAAATCGTATAACTGTGTGCATTAATTTTGAATATCTATAGTGAATTTCTTTTTAGTTTTTTAAAGGCCGAAACATTTCGGGGTTTGTTATGATAGGCCCTCAGTATTTGTTAAACTCAGAGTTAAACTTAATTAAGCCAACATTCATTAATAGGTCAAGTACATCCGAGTTAGGAATGGGCCTTGACAACATAATAATACGACGACGGTGCAAATGACCAGGAGTGAGCGAGTAAGTGAGTGAGTTTGGTTTTACGCCGCACAATCCAGTTGATCAACAGCATGAGCATCGATCTACGCAATTGGGATACGATGACCTGTGATAACCAAGCCAGCGAGCCTGACCACCCGATCCCGTTAGTCGCCTCTCACGACAAGCATGGGTTACCGGAGACAAATTCTAACCAGGTTCTTCACGGGTCCAATGAATAAGTACCTGTACATAGTGCAAGAGTATGGCTAAATGAATATGATGAAGGAAAGGTATAAAAAACAAAACAAAATCATTGAAATATGATTGCAACAATTTTAATAATTCTTTCCAGTAACATACATATATGTCAACCAAGTCAGCGAGCCTGACCACCCGATCCCGTTAGTCGCCTCTTACGACAAGCATGGGTTGCTGAAGGCCCATTCCAACCCGGATTTTCACGGGCATCTCAAAAGTAGCGATATCGAATCAACGATGAAATTTCAGAAAGGGACAACACGTATTTCCTTTCGAACAGGAGATTGGCTTAACACTACAAGTTTAATCGTTGTGTGACATGCTTGTGACACGGATCCAGCGAGATTCCAACCACCGTGGTTTCCGGTTAAGAACAGAGGTCACAGCAGCTTCCCGTGTCCTAAGAGGCGACCAAATAGATTCCGTGGTCAGGCTCGGTAACGTAGATTATATTCATGTCAGCGTATCCCGACTGCATAGATAATCGCCCATGATGACAGTCATTGGATTGTGTGGTCCATTCTAGAATATTTATAGGCCGCACACGAGTGTGTGTGTGTGTGTGAGTGAGTGCGTTTGCGTGTGTGTGTGTGTGTGTGTGTGCTGGTTTACAAGGCCACATTTATTATGCAGGATCTGCCCAAGTGTCACCGTGTCTTACCGAGAAGCAAATTATTCAGCATTCCTTTGCATGTTGTTTTAAGCCGCACTGTAAATAATCGAGTCTCGATCAGACAATCCAGTGATCAACAGGCAGAGCATAACGGCGGTCTGTAAAGCTCGAGTCTGAACCGGGCAACCTTGTGATAGACAATCACTTTGTTTGTTTGTTGTTTGACGCCGCACTCAGCAATTTCCCAGCTAGATGACGGCAGTCTGAAAATAGTCGAGTCTGGACCAGACAATCCAAAGATGACATCATGCACAGGCAAACTGTAGCGCAAACAGGGTTGCGCAACAAATAGAAAATGACCAGTCTTCGCATATGAAGACTGGTCATTTTCTCTTTGTTGCGCAACCCTGTTTGCGCAACAGTTTGCCTGTGCATCATGATAACTGATCTTCGTAATTGGGATACGATGACATGGGTCAACCAAATCAGCGAACTCGACCACCCGCCACCGTTAGTCGTCTCTTATGACAAGCATAGGTTGACGAAGATCAACTCTAACCCGGATCTTCACGGGCGATCATGAGATTAGAACGCGGATATTTCCCACATACTCCCGGACTCATTGGATACCTTATCATGTCGTGCATCCGTGAGCAACGTTGTAACAGAATGCTGGTTGCGGCAGCTATATGGCGGCGGTCTCGCCTCCTTTGCATTATAGTCCGTTTGGCTCAAAAGCGGACCGATGAATTGTAATCTAACTCGAAAACTAATAAGCATAAAATACTCAATGAAACGCTGATAATAATCAAAACATCATACCAACTCTGTGAGGTTTTTGCAGAATTTTTGTCCTAAAAATAATAAAGTTGTTTAACAAACTATCATTAAAATATTGACACAGTTCAGTGTTTGTTACGAGGGAGGAGTGCAGAGAAAGGGATAGCCAGGTGTTCGAGAAGCACGTTCACAGACAAAGTTATTTATTCATTAACCTTTGCTGTGCCGTCTCCATCCGTTCTCGAACACCTGGCTGTCCCTTTCTCTGCACTCCTCCCTCGTAACAAACAGTGAACTGTGTCAATATTTTAATGATAGATTGTTAAACAACTTTATTATTTTTAGAACAAAAATTCTGAAAAAACCTCGCAGAGTTGGTATGATGTTTTGATTATTATCAGCGTTTCATTGAGTATTTTATGCTTATTAGTTTTCGAGTTAGATTACAATTCATCGGTCCGCTTTTGAGCCAAACGGACTATAGTTGGTTTGTTGGTTAACGCACTCAGCAATATTCTAGCTATATGGCTGCGGTCTGTAAATAATCGAATCTGGACCAGACAATCCAGTGACCAACAGCATGAGCATCGATCTACACAGTTGGGATACGATGACATGTGTCAACCATGTCAGCGAGCCTGAACGCCCGATCCTGTTAGTCGCCTCATACGACAATCGTGGGTTACTGAAGATCACTTCTAACCCGGATCTTCACGGGTGCTACACATGTACACCTATTACCAATGTATGTAAGTTTATAATAACCAAGTTTCGTTTGTCACCATCAAACTGTGCCTTGCTGTTCCGAACATCAAATTACACAAGAAATTACAATTCAAGGCATGTAATGTTCTTTGTTTACTAACGCCATGCCTAATAATATTGCATCTTCATGACCGCGATCTGGGCCAGATAATCCAGTGGTTGACATAATGTGTATCAATCTACGCCGTTTGGATACAATGCTATGCATAAACCAATCAACAATCATGACCACTCGATCCTATACGTCGCCGTTTACAAAGAGCATGGTTTGCTGAATGTCAATTCTAACCCGGATCTGCAGGGGTTCGAATTCAGTCTGGGCCAGATAATCCAGTGATAGACATTATAGATATCAATCTACGCAAATGTGATACGATGGCATGCATTAAAAAAGTCAGTAATCCTGACCACCCGATCCCATTAGTCGCCAAGCGTGGTTTGTTAATGATTGGTATTCTAAACCAGATCTTCATGGGTATAATTACTGAGTAAACGTAGTAATTAAAGGAGGCAAATTTTCTAAAGGTGTATATTTACTGTATCATGAAGTCAGTTTGCTGTGTAATTATAACAGTATGCTTCTATGTGTGGCATCAACGAGTTCAGCGAGGATGACGTCACGGATAGTATAACTTCTTTGAAAGTCATTTTAGAAGTTGTATAGGTAAAGGAAAACCAAGTTGTATGGATAGTCAACTTCTTTTTTGCATTGAGTGCAAAGACGTTTCGGTGTAGGTACTAACACCGTTATCAAGCAACCATTGCTCATGACTTGTCTGATAACGATGTTAGTACCTACACCGAAACGTCGCACGCAGTGCAATTAGGAAGTTGACTATCCCTAGAACTTCGTTTTCCTTCACGGATAGTATAGGTTGTGGAGATCACTTCTAACTCGGATCTTCATAGGTTATCAATTTGATATCACACTCGGTTTAAATAATACTGATCATCCAAGAAGAAACACACACCAAACATGTGGAAACACCTGAATATGCTTTTCCGTTTAGTTGCCGGTTTCACATGGTCTTTGTTTGCAGGAGGGGTTTTACCAGTTCCTATGAGAGATTCTTCATCTTCAGCAATGATTGTGCGTCTTGTGGACGTCATGTTTGGAGTCAGGCACGTAACACCCGTGTAAAATGGTAGCACAAACAAGGAACAAAGCATAAATAACATAAACATCCCATCCGTGAAATATACAGCTACCAAACCCGCAAGTATTAAAGACACCAATGAATACCCCCATAAGTGCTTCCATGCTGACAAAAATGGGTTGGAGGATTTAAATTCTTCTTCCACGGCTCTTTGAGGTATCCAATGTACGTTGGCGGTAATATTGGCCTGAATGGCCCGCACGATGCGAACGCATCCCACCATGGCTTCCGGTGTGAACTGGAGAATGGAGGCGACGGTCTCGAGAAACACAAACTTGTAGTTTTCCCGGGTGCAGGTGGCAAACTTTGGGAAGACGAGGACGAGGAACATGACGATGATGATTGAGGCGTACCTGTAATGGAGATGTGTCTGGTAGTGAATGACGATGAACGCCAGCAACAGCGGCTTCATGAACATCTGACGCAGGGCGGAGTGAGCAATGTACGACGTTACAAAGTCCAGTTTAGATTCAGTTCTCAGTTTGGTGGCGTTGAACTTCTCTCCTTGTAATTTTCTCTGGATCCATCGCATTGGTTTCCCGATAGCGTTTTTCCAAAAGTACATGGACAAGAGAACCTCGCCTCTGTTCCATCGTCTTTCCCGAATGTTCCATGCAACATAGTTGTAGGATGGCGCCTCCAGCAGGTAAACGGACCCGACGTACAGAGGTTTGAGAAGGGCAGCCTCAAAGGTGTCGTGGCTGAGAACATCAACCGGAACCCGCTCTATGAGATTATCTCTGGTTCCGATGACATTTTCAATATAAACAGAGTTCCTGATCAAAGCTTTACCGAAATAGGACGACTGGCCCAACAGATCCGTCACGGCGTTTGTCATAGGTTCATATATGTCTTGTCTTGTTTGTTCAAGACTCATAAACAAAGTGTCGGTGAATGTACAATGAAGTTTTATAGCTGGTTGTATGATTCCCCGTTCAGGATGTGCAGCCGCTATTTTAAGCAGCTTTAAAGCAAATCCAGGCTCTATCATTGTGTCGCTGTCCAACACGAATGTGTAATCAAAATGACGGTCGTATATATTCTTCGTATCTTCAGACTCATGAAATAAAGGTTCACGAGGCGGTCTTGCGCATGAGCCATAATACTCAGGATCGGTGTACGTATATGCTTCGGTATCCCCATTCGATAGAAGCATTAAATCCTGATACTGACCACACTTCTTCAGGACTTTGGTAACCCTATGTATCACCATGAAATTATGTGCGAAGTGATGGCATATGTCCTCTAAATACGTTCGTCTAAAATCACCAGTGTCCATATCGTCATATTTCGACCAGATATGCTGCAAGCGTTGAGAATCAATCAAGTCTCTGTTACCACTTGCATATTTTATACCTTCCCAGAAAAGTTTACTATACACCAAAGCCCTGAAATTATCTCTCACCTCCAGCTCATAAGCCTTAAGTTCCTCCGAAATGGTAGCGCTCACTAACACAGCACATACATTCTCAGACAGGTTTCCCATGTAGGCGCTGTACATGGTTTGAAGACACTCGTCGATGTCGTCTTGGCTGACGGCGAGGAGGTTGTAGTTGAGAACTAACGATAGATGGTCTGCGGAGGCACAGTTATTTTCCCGTCTGTTGCCTCCAAGAAGAAGCGTGGCTAACGTCATTACCGGGAACTCCATCACAGAACCTTGCAGTACACCTACCACCAATATTATGAAGATTCCTCTTGGCGTAGACGTCTTCGCCCAGTCGATGTTTAAAATGTTTAAGACAATACCACACAATGCGAGGAGTATCCACGATCCAAAGAATCCATATATTCGCAAGCGTCTAGTCATTCTCGTTCATTTCATTGAACCAAATGAATTCCTTTCCATTTACATAACTTTGACCCAGACGTCATTGTACGGAGGTATTTTGAGTAGCCATTTCCTTCATCCTCAACGACGTCCTGAGATAAAGGTTGTATCGCTCTGACATAGGCGCCCGACTCTGATATATTTATAAGCATATGCATGACCTATATATATAAGATATAAGAAAGGTGTGTCAGTAAATCGATACAAAAAGGCGGCCCCGCTCGGCTCGGTTTCGTTCTGACAAACGCTTCCATTGCTTTGACCGTTGAATAAACTGCACAATCTATACTCAGTTGACCTCTGTAAAGTACCTTGCGTATCACAAACCTGATGATTTTAATTCCTGTAGCGAGTACTGGATCGTACAACAGCAGATTTCCTCAGTGAATTTCTTCTGAATAGCTGTAAGCATTGTAACCCTGACCAAGAAATAACCATAATAAATAAATACACCAAACAAATGTTATTTGATATTATATTTACGAATATTATAATTAAACTAGTAATGAGGATGATTATTGAGGCAATTATTGATAATAATCATAATATCAGTAACACAGTCTTAAATTAAACGACTTACATTTAAGAAAATAATAATATTAGTAACAGAAACAAAAAAGGGAATATTTTATCAACATTTTTAAGCAATTTAGATTACATAAACTGTTATCTGTCACGTAAATATATACATGCGATTCTGCAAGACCCAGCTGCTCAAATATGATACAAACTGCAATTGGTTCCTGATTCAGAGAAATAGTAATAAAATTTAAGAAATAACGGATTGAACTTACTGTATCTCTGTAAATGCACACTCAACATTTATGAATGATATGGAGGAGTTCCATTCTTCTGTTATCACACAAATGTGCACTTTCACAGACACGTACTTCGGGGTAAGTGGAATAAAGTACAGTTTACATGACAGTGTGATGTTATAAGTGTAGTAAACCAAGGACAATTAAGACAGTACAACACACTCTGATGGAATTATCACGTAACTATTTTGATGTTTAACAATGTTCTTGTGGATAATAGACGCAATCAAGGGGGAATTAGGATGTCGTAAAGGCTCGTGTTTCTGAACATAAACTAGATGAGTCTGCAACGTTGGATTACAACCGCCCTTGACTATATATAGAATGGACCTTGTGAGACAGATATTATTTTAGAAAATAACCGTAAAGAGAGAAAGAGAGAAAGAGAGAGAGAGAGAGAGAGAGAGAGAGAGAGAGAGAGAGAGAGAGAGAGAGAGAGAGAGAGAGAGAGAGAGAGAGAGAGAGAGAGAGAGAGAGAGAGAGAGAGAGAGAGAGAGAGAGAGAGAGAGAGAGAGAGAGAGAGAGAGAGAGAGAGAGAGAGAGAGAGAGAAAGAGAGAGAGAGAGAGAGAGAGAGAGAAAGAGAGAAAGAGAGAGAGAGAAAGAGAGAGAGAAAGAGAGAGAGAGAGAGAGAGAGAGAGAGAGAGAGAGAGAGAGAGAGAGAGAGAGAGAGAGGGAGAGGGAGAGAGAGTAATTACAGTGTCGACCACTTTCACTGGAACACTCAAACTCCTCAGTTTAGATTCATAAAGTTTTCAAGCATCATAATAAAGTGATAATGAATTATGTTAGGTAATGTAAATACAAACATTGTGTCAGGATCGTTATTGAAAATGTTTTCGATAAAAAGATTTCAAAGGTATCTATCTGATATAGCAGTTAATGATATTCTTGTATTGTGTATCAGTTAATTAACCCTTTGTTCTAAGCAGAAGTTAAATTACAATTGTATCCTTCATTAAAGGATTGTTAAGTCCACCCATGAAGATCCGTGTTAGAATGGGCCTTCAGCTGCCCATGCTTGTCGTAAGAGGTGACTAACGGGATCGGATGGTCAAGCTTGCTGACTTGGTTGACACATGTCATCGAATCCCAATTGCGTAGATCGATGCTCATGCTGTTAATCACTGGACTGTCTGGTCCAGTCTCAATTATTTACAAAAGCGTTGTCATATAGCGAGGTGTGGCGTTAAACAACAAACATACCACAAAGAAACATCCTCATATAAAGAATATTTACAGACCGATGCCATACAGCTTGATGATTGCTGACTGGAGCGTTAAGCAACAAAGAAAAACACACCTGATGTATATCTTATCCCAACCGACGGATGCTCGTGGTATCACTGGATTGCAGAGACTTAATTATGTACAAACCAGTCGGATCAGGATCACTGAGTGTTTTAAACCTGGAAGTTACCAATTATTCAGGCCTATGGAAAGAACTCCCTTTTCAAAAGTCAGATGTGTCATCTCTTCAAGAGATAAATCAAAATATAATGCCAGTTTTACAAGTTGTACTTCCCATCACTATTGGTGATTTTCGAAAATAGAACACAGTTTTCAAGTTGTTTCAAATTCAAGTTGATTCATTCTAACCCGGATCTTCACGGGTCCCGTACCCAGAATGAGCACCGAATTTAGTAATCTCTCGCTCAGATATATCATGAAATTTGTATGCTCACTTGGTTTCCCTCTCAGTGTAACCTCTGCCCACACAGAAGATTACTCCAAATCACACTAGCAATCATTCTCTTTCCACAGAGGTTACTTGTCATATCTTCCTACGAAAGATATGACAAGTAACCTCTGTGAAAAAGAATGACTAGCAATATGACGAGTCCAATCAATTGCCACCATGTACGTGCGAACGATGACGTTATGACAATCGTAAAGGACTGAAAGTTCCTGGACATGCTAAACGGCTTAAACGGTTTGTCAACCACAAACATAGGCCAACCAACCCGTTTCCAACTATCGCTTGGTATAATTACATGAATCAACTACACACATTTGATACGGTTATGGACATGATAGCTCCCACAGCTCAACTATTTACCCCGAACAGGCATAAAATGTCACGTTGGATTAACAGGAATTCTTGTCATATTAAACCGAATCCGAGCGCTTATCATACTCAGTGGAAAAAGAAACGCTACATGATTAACTGGGAGAAAAGCACTGTACATGAGGTTAAAGATGATTACGAATACATGTTACATGATTCAATTGTCACAAGGTTACAGGGAAATAGAACCGTGAATGTATGTTGAAAATGAGTATTGTTTATTGTCAAAGGTTTTGTTGTGCATACATGTATGGTTGATTCATTCATATTCACGGGTTACTGGCCTATCTCTGCTAATGTTTGGGTCAGGCTGCGTATACTACTGCTTGAAGAATACATTCCCGGATTACTGACCAAACTCTGCTAATATACCAAACTCTGCTAATGTTTGGGCCAGGTTGCGTATACTACTGCTTGATGAATACATTCCCGGGTTACTGACCAATCTCTGCTAATGTTTGGGTCAGGCTGCGCATACTACTGCTTGAAGAATACATTCCCGGGTTACTGACCAAACTCTGCTAATGTTTGGGTCAGGCTGCGTATACTACTGCTTGAAGAATACATTCCCGGGTTACTGACCAAACTCTGCTAATGTTTGGGTCAGGCTGCGTATACTACTGCTTGAAGAATACATTCCCGGGTTACTGACCAAACTCTGCTAATGTTTGGGTCACGTTGCGTATACTACTACTTGAAGAATACATTCCCGGGTTACTGACCAAACTCTGCTAATGTTTGGGTCAGGCTGCGTATACTACTGCTTGAAGAATACATTCCCGGCTTACTGACCAATCTCTGCTAATGTTTGGGTCAGGCTGCGTATACTACTCCTTGAAGAATACATTCCCGGGTTACTGACCAATCTCTGCTAATGTTTGGGTCTTGTTGCGTATACTACTACTTGAAGAATACATTCCCGGGTTACTGACCAATCTCTGCTAATGTTTGGGTCTCGTTGCGTATACTACTACTTGAAGAATACATTCCCGGGTTACTGACCAAACTCTGCTAATGTTTGGGTCAGGCTAATGTATACTACTGCTTGAAGAATACATTCCCGGGTTACTGACCAAACTCTGCTAATGTTTGGGTCAGGCTGCGTATACTACTGCTTGAAGAATACATTCCCGGGTTACTGACCAAACTCTGCTAATGTTTGGGTCACGTTGCGTATACTACTGCTTGAAGAATACATTCCCGGGTTACTGACCAAACTCTGCAAATATACCAATCTCTGCTAATGTTTGGGTCACGTTGTGTATACTACTGCTTGAAGAATACATTCCCGGGTTACTGACCAAACTCTGCTAATGTTTGGGTCACGTTGCGTATACTACTACTTGAAGAATACATTCCCGGGTTACTGACCAAACTCTGCTAATGTTTGGGTCAGGCTGCGTATACTACTGCTTGAAGAATACATTCCCGGGTTACTGACCAATCTCTGCTAATGTTTGGGTCAGGCTGCGTATACTACTGCTTGAAGAATACATTCCCGGGTTACTGACCAAACTCTGCTAATGTTTGGGTCTTGTTGCGTATACTACTACTTGAAGAATACATTCCCGGGTTACTGACCAAACTCTGCTAATGTTTGGGTCAGGTTGCGTATACTACTGCTTGAAGAATACATTCCCGGGTTACTGACCAAACTCTGCTAATGTTTGGGTCAGGCTGCGTATACTACTTCTTGAAGAATACATTCCCGGGTTACTGACCAAACTCTGCTAATGTTTGGGTCATCTTGTTGCGTATACTACTGCTTGAAGAATACATTCCCGGGTTACTGACCAAACTCTGCTAATGTTTGGGTCAGGTTGCGTATACTACTGCTTGAAGAATACATTCCCGGGTTACTGACCAAACTCTGCTAATGTTTGGGTCAGGCTGCGTATACTACTGCTTGAAGAATACATTCCCGGGTTACTGACCAAACTCTGCTAATGTTTGGGTCACGCTGCGTATACTACTGCTTGAAGAATACATTCCCGGGTTACTGACCAAACTCTGCTAATGTTTGGGTCAGGCTGCGTATACTACTACTTGAAGAATACATTCCCAGGTTACTGACCAAACTCTGCTAATGTTTGGGT